TTTTTTTTTTTTTTTTTTTTTTTTTTTTTTTTTTTTTTTTTTTTTTTTTTTTTTTTTTTTTTTTTTTTTTTTTTACAGGGACATGTTGGAAGCTGGAATATACATCCTGCATTACAAAGTGCAAAATACTACATGCTCAGAGCCCAAGCATGATGTCTGAAACAGTCCACAGCAAGATGTAAGAGACAAACCCACCACCCTCTCCCTCCTCTCTGGGACATGCTCCAGGTGCTCCTCCCCAGATGCCTTGGAAAAACAGGTTTATTTTTGCTTGGTTTTGTTTTATTGTTATCCCAAGTGGGTCGGAATTGAGCCCTCTCTCCCCTGGCCCTCCCCACCAATCTGCTTCCCGGCATCTCCGTGCACACGCTTCGGGATGGGATGGGATGGGGTGGGATGGGATGGGATGCTCCTCACCAGCACGGCACAATGACCAGCAATTCGTGTTGCTGATGGTGCCTCTAAGTTTTTTGGGGGTTTTTTGGTTTTTTTTTGGGAATCCAGGGACACATTTTTACCCAGGAGAAATTGGTTGTGAATTAAAAGTAGCACTGGGTGGTTTTCCAGCCTTGCCGTGTCAGGGAGCAGCCTGGGGAGGAGGAGTGAAGGCAGGAGGGTGGTGGGGCTGCTGCTCACACCTCGTGTTCCCTATTCCCCCCCCCCCCCGCCCCAAGGAATTTTGGGAAAGGCCAATTGCTGCTTTGTTTTAAAAACAAATACAAAATGGGGCCCCTTTTCCCATCTTTTCCATCCAAACAGGGTTCATGCCTTCCCTGTGCTCCTTCTCTCCTCCTTCTTACAGCAACATTCCTCCATTTCCAAGGGGAGAAAAGCCTGATTTTACTTTTCTCTCCCATTTGTCATTAAAGCTGTTGTGGGTTTTCCTGGGAAACTCAGCCTGGAGCATCCCAGCACCCAAACATACACCAAACAAACTCTCCCCATGGTCCCCCCATATAATTTCCAGTTTGGGATTCATTACTGTTGTTATGACCATTTTTTTTTTTTTTGGGGGGGGGAGGGGGATGGTGAGGGGAAGGGAAACGAGGTTTTCTTTTGTTGGGATTCCTTCTCATCCTTCCCAATGTTGGGGGGGCAGAGTGTTGATAGCATTTTGCCATGCCACACAGCATAGTGTTATACAAGCAAAGAATTTTGGCTAAAATCCAAAAAACATTACCCAGGAAAAAAGGCAAACTGTGAGTGAGACTCGATCATTTGTTGTTCTTCTGTGAAAAGACTTGGAAATTGTCGGAGGACAGTTCGAGTTATGATTTTTCCCTTTGTTTTGTTGTTGTTTGTTGTTTGGTTCTGGTTTGTTTTTGTGTTTTTTTTTTTCTTTGTTTTTTTTGTTTTGTTTTCCCATTCATACATGTAACTGTTATTTTTGCAAACAAGACAGTCTTGAATTAGATGAAAAAGTTAATAAACAAAATGGCGACTCCAATATTTAGTAAGATCACCATGACTACCAGGATGGGAGCTGAACCCTGGAAGAGAAAGAGAAGGAGAGCAGTTAGAACGGTTGGAATTCTGCCCAAGGTTGCCTTGTAGCAGGGTCAGGAGCCTTGAGGGGTCCAGGCAGGTCTGTGGATGGGCAAACCCTGATTTACACCCCAGCAAGGGATCCCAAAGTGCCCAGAAACCCTCGGCGAATTTTTTTAGGCTTCTAAGCAAGCACCTGGATGCACCCATTGACCAAGCCATGGACTTCCCATATCATTCCCACAGGAAATCTGGCCTTAAAAAAATTAAAATTGGTTGTTTACCAGGGGGTCAATGAAAATGAAGAACCCCATTTATTGGATCATACAGTTATTTGAGGATGGTTTGAAATTGTCTCCACAGGACATTTCCCAATAAACACAATTGTTTCTCCAGGCATCCTGGTAATGGCAAACAGTGGTCTGTGTTCAGGCAACACTTTGGGAAAGCTCTAATAACATTTCCTGAGGTTTGTAAGAACTGAATAAAGCATCTGGGAATTGCCTGGAAGTGTTCAAGGCCAGGTTGGATGGGACTTGAGCAACCTGGGATAGTGGAAGGTGTCCCTGCCCGTGGCAGGGGGTGGGACTGGATGAGCTTTAAAGTCCCTCCCAACCCAACCCATTCCAGGATTGTGTCATTCTGCCTGGAAACCATTGCAGGAACTCTGGCCCATGGAACACCCACCACAGCCTGGGTTGAACATGCCCTCAGGAGCATCCATTGCTTTCCCCTGAGCATAAGGACAGCCCAGACAACTGTGTGGGACATGACGAGGATGTGGTCTTGGACCCCATTAGAATCCCAGGAATGACAGGAAGAGACCCCTCAGCATGGGGACTGCAGACAACCCTCCAACACATCTTTGTGCAGAACATTGGTCAGAAAAACCTCCATGTCATCACCTTGTCCCTGTCACCCCATCCCTGTCACCCCATCCCTGCCTCCTCATCCCCGCCACCAAACATTCCCTGTCCCAGAGTGTTAACGTGGCTCACACCAGGGTGAGCAATCCTGTGTGCAGGTAGGTGGTAGCTATTTCTCGGAGTAGCTGGGATCCTCAGCTATTCCTGCTGCAGCCGAGCCGTGCCAGCTCTAACTGCCTGGAATGCTCTAAATCCTTTCTCCAGGCTCCCGCCCTCCTCCTAACGCTCCTGTGGCTGCTGGGATGGCTCGGGGCAGGGGTGGGCACCCTCTGGGAGCTTTCCTTGTGCCACTCTGCAGAGCTGCTGGAAAATAAAAGGTAAAAACACCGTCCTTGCTGGCCAGAGCTCGTTTCATTCCGAGCAGGCTGATTCAGTTCGCAGTTGGGAGTGGGTGGGAGCGAGGATGCTGGAGCTCGCTGGAAAGGCATATTTGTAGCTTAGCAACAGGGTCAAAGGCAGCCAACCAACGGAGGGATTGTGGAGAGCCTCTCCTGGCAGCCAGGTATCCACGCCCGGCTTCTTCCAAAGGCAGAAACCACCCCCTTGTTGCCAGTCCTCCCCCTTCTCCAGCCCGGCCGCTGCCAAGCCCCGCGCTGGCGTTATTGGCATGGGGGGGATTAGCTGCATTTCACAAGATTATTGGGTTTTACCATTTCTGAGCCCGTGGTAATATAATAACAGATTGCAGGCGATTAGCGCTGTCATTGTTGCTGTTGGCAGGGCACGGGGACACAGGGAACGCTATCGGATCCCTCGGCCCCGCAGCCAGGGAGGGCTCGGCCGTGCTTCCATCAGCCCTGGGCCACTCAGTGGTTGAGTTCCCTGCCAAAAAAGCAGCAAATATTTGTGCCCCTGCTCTGCTCACACCACTAAACCCTTCCAATTCCCTGGAGTTCCTCATAAACGCTTTGGGATGGACCTGTTGGGCTGATGGGACAACCTTTCACAACCCTTCGGGACTGGTGTTCACAGGATGCTGATGGGATGTGTCCAGGGATACACTTTTTTGGTCACTTCTCCCCAGTGTCAAGCAGCAGAACAAGAGGAAACAGCCTCAGGTTGCACCAGGGGAGGTTTACATTGGATATTAGGGAAAAATTCCTCACCAAAAGGATTGTCCACTCAGGGCAGTGATGGAGTCCTCATACCCAGAGGGATTTAAAAACCCTATGGATGTGGCATTTGGGGACGTGGGTCAGTGGTGGCCTTGGCAGCGCTGGGGGATGCTTGGACTTGATCTTAGAGCGTTTTCCAACCTAAATGATTCCAAAGTTCTATGATTTACAGACCAGTCCATCAAAGCCGTGCCCTCATGTGGAAAAATGGGGGGAGCCAACACCCACTTCCATCGGCAGCACCTGCCTTCCCCTGCACGGATGTTTTGCTCGGCTCCCTGGCTCAGTCTGTGCCTGTTTGCATCCTGCATCCCCTTTTGCGGTGCAGAGGCAGGAGAAAATCCTTCCTTTGCCACTGCATGGGTGGGATCTTCCACATTTGCCAGCAAAAGCATCCCAGGAATAGAATGACCAGGGAGGGGAGGGGTCTCTGTGAACCGAACAGCTCTGACTGTCTGACAACTCACAAATTCTGCTTCCTTTTTACAGTTCCTTCTTTTTAACACCCTCTTCCCTATGCCAGCTCCATGGAGGGCTCTCCAGGCAGGAATGGCAGGTAGGGCTGCTCCCTCGGTGTGGGGCTGGAGCCCTGCCCACGGCAGCTGGTGGATAAGCAGCTTTGAGACTCCAAAGCTTCTGTTTTAGCTCCAATTACGAATCCTGCTGCACCTCTAAACCCTTATGTCTGGCTTATTTCTATCTTGTCAGGTCTTTGTGCCTTCACCTCTGCTCAGAGGAAACACTTGCCCTTGCCTCCTTTGATGGCCTGGGATATGTGTCATCCAAGAAGTGATTCCAGCTCGGTGCCCGGGCAGGAGATGAATCATTTCTGGAACTCTGCTTTGGAAGAGATGTTCTGCTGAGCCCAGCTTGGCCATAGGTCACTGAACTCCCTTTTGCTGCAGTTCCAGTCATTGTTTTAGAACCAGTGGCTTTTACAACTCTTCCCACCACATCCCAACCCTCTAACGGGAGCCACTGCCTTTGGAAAGAAGAGACAGTGCCCTCCATTTGAAACTTTGTGTTGTCTGGTGGAGCTTTATCTCATCTTTGGCCTCCTATAGAATCATGGAATGGTTTGGATTGGAAGGGACCTTAAAGATCATCTCATTCCAACCCCCTGCCACAGGCAGGGATCTCCTGGAGCCCAAAGAAAACCCTGAGGCTAGTTGGGTCTATTTCTTGAGCTGGGCTTTGTGTGTCAAAGACAGCAAGAATCTCCAACACTTTCTTTAGCCCTGCAGTAGGAAATTGTGAAATCAGGCCCTCAGGAGCTGGGAAATTTGGTTAAACCACCCTTCCTGCCAGCCAGGAGCCAGGCTCAGCTCTGGAATGCTGTCCTGCCTCCCAGCTCTGCACCCGCCCTTCCAGAACCCGCTTCCCTGGGAGGCAGACGCCAGTTGGCAGCGTCCTCTCACCCAATTTTAGCTGCCTAAATGTTAGACATCCAGCCTGCACTCCCCATCCAGGCTGTCTGGAGCCCAAGTGACGTGGGATGAATCCCACCCAGCATGGCTACCAGCCTGGCTCAGGGAAAGGAAACATTCCAGTGAGCTCTGGTGTGCCCGAGCATCCTCCGGCGAGAATTTCACCAGCAAATCCAGGCTGGGATTTTTAACTTTTATTTTGTATAATAAGGTCCCTGGAGGGCTTCACAGGAGAAGGAAGACATCTGCCAAGGGTGGGCAATGTAGATTAGCTGGGCAAAAGGGTCCTTTTGTATCCACAGGGAGAACCTCCGAAGAATTTTTAGATTTCCTTCCAAGCTTAAAGAACAGAAACTTAGACATAAACTCATGGATACACTAAAATATGAATAAACTCTTGCTATGGCACAGGAGTAATAACAGTAATCCTAGCTGTAGAGTAATTTCTGCCCCTCTGTCTTGTTTGTTTTTATCCTGTAAGTGTTGTGTAGCAACTCCAGAGTCTTACTGGGAATACGAGGGACAGTTGGTTTACAAATGCAATTGTAGCATAATTAATTTAAGCATTAACAATCCATTATTATCTGTTATCACAGGCTACAAGCTCTGCCTCTCTGCCATGGAAACCATAGTGCAGGTTACCTAGGAATCCCTCTGGGATCTATTAAGTGTAATTACTAAGGACTTGGATCAGCAAAAAAAAAAAACTATATATGCACCGTTTTCCAGCCTCAGCACTGCGGAAAGTGCTGCAAACTTAGCAGCTCCATGACATTTGTGCTGAATTGTCACATAATTGCCAGGAACAGGCTCTGTGAAATGGGTGAGGAGCATTTAGCAAAAGAAACATCAGGGATTCACTTTGCTTTCTCCAGTGGATTGCAGCATCTCCCGTGGCTCCAGGAAGGGGCCCGGGAGATGCCAGACGTGCCTGTGTGAGTGAAACTGAGTTGGATGGGATGGAAAACCTGCTTCTGGGGGAGAATAAGGCTAAAAATATGAGGATTTATGCTGAGAGGGTGCCTGTTAGTGAACTGGTTTGTGCCCCCTGGTTCAATGCTCAGCTTAGAGGTGCTGGGAGAAAACTCTGTCTACAGTTTGTTTATGTGTGTTTGGAGCTCTCTGTCTGTTTGCTCATCTATGTTTGGAGCTCTGTGTCTGTTTTTAAGATTTTTGGTTCTTGTGCATTCAAAAGTTGGTGTTTGATCCCAGAGTTTTCCAAGCTAAACAATGTGGAATTGGGCTCAAACCCCTACATTGAATCCAGGATGTCAAGAGCAGAGTCAGCAAAGGTGCTCCCTCAGGAACATCAAAGGGCCCAGGAGATGAAAAGGGTTTTAAACCGGACCCTGTCAAGCGAAACATCCCATTCCTCTGTGAACATTATTCACCTCCTGTTGTTACACATCACACCTGCGATGTCTGAACATGAGAGAGATTAGAACAGGAACATTTTCTGGTTATTATTTGAGACAACCCCCAAAAGGTTTGCTCTGCACACACTGCAGCCCCTGGGGCGAAGCTCTGCCTCATTCCA